TTATTTATATATTTATATATTTTGTTTTTCAAAATTATTAGAAAATATTGTTAATTAAAAGAAACAAAAAAAAAAAAAAAAACTGTTTGCATGATATAAAAAAAAGTAATTAATCAAATATTAAAATGAATATAAAGTGCTAAAGTTATATATATTTTATTGAAACGTTGTACTTACTTAATATGTAAATACTGACTTTATGTATAAAAAATTTATTTTAAGTGAACTCACTTATGTATATTTAATTTTATAAGTCGATGAGTTACTCCTAAATTGCTCATCGGATTTCGGTTATTGAATTTTTCTTTCACTTTTTCAGTGAGCTAATCTGAACCAAGTAGCCTGAGCCACAAACGCTTTCAATTCTCTCTCAACTTGTTTACACGAAAATTTTGATATGGTATAATTCGTCATGCAGAACAACGAATCGAGTAAAGGAAATGTGCCCAAGGAAGACGACATGATGGTCACTGGCAGATCGTGCCTGAAGAAGCCAGACCGAAATCTTGGTCATTACATGCAACGCAATGTGAGTCAATATCGCCAGGAAGGTGGCGAAAATCAGCGCAAGTTGAAGAATCTGAACAGGCAATTCGAGCGCGATATTTTGCACCTGGAGAACTCAATAACCAGCCTGGAGGTGCCCGAAAAAAGTCTAGCTGCCGAGTGGATGAGCAAGCTGAAGGCGCGACCCCCAAACATGAACGAAGCGATCGCTCGAAACTATATTCTGACCTATATGCTGCGACTAACCCATTTGGATATGTTCAAGGTGAAGCCGTTCAATGGGCCGCCACCTCAGAATGCGCTCTCGAATATCAGTTCAGCAATTGTAAGTTACAAAGAGTGGAGCTAGCAGACAAATAAATACCCTATTTACATTTGCTATTTTACAGCCAGTGCTTAGCACCAATACGAAGAGCATTTCAGATCTCTACTGCGACTCAATGGACAACGGCGCCTTCTTGAACAAGTTACCTGTGCCGCGCGATGGCGCCTTTTTCGTCATGCACCTGCTGCCAAATTTACGAGTAGTTAATTGATTTCACTTCATTGACAATTGCACAAAGTGCGACATTTAAACAAACGCTAAAGAAATTTTTTTGTTATTATAAATGACATTGATACCATATTAAAATTTTCAACTAAAGCGACAAAGTTTTGACTGTTTAGCCAGAGTTGGTTGGGAAATCTGTAAGCAAAAGCTTATCCTGCTAAAATGGAACATACATTCCACCTTGAAGATATTTGTATTAACTTCGGCTAGTTCACTCCACAATTTCGGACTGTTGCGGCTCTGATTGGTCTCTGATTGAACAAGTTGTAGTTCATGTTGATTATTTAATCATAGCTCACATTTCCGGCAATTCGAAGTTGACTTCGTAAATATTAACGAGCAATCTAACTGACAATTATTTTCGAGCAAACATAGCTCCCAATGGTCGAAGATACATATATACATACATATGTGTGTAAACATTTACTATGCACTGTTTCTGGCTTAAAGAGTTTGAGTTTGAATATTTACTGAATGTCAGACAAATTTACTGCGCACTCGCTTAGATCTGAAGGATTTTATAGAATAAAAGCTGCAATTTCTGTTACTTCTTGTTGCTTTAGGTAATATATTGCGATTTTAAATGTATTCAGAGTCATTTGACATATCTATATATATATCTTGATTTATTACTATTTATAACATTCCTTTTTAATATTTATGCAATTGCGAAAAGAATCGAAATAAAATCAAATTACTAATTGCAAATTTGAGTAAAATATTACGCGTATAAGATAAACTGAAAATCATTTAAATCATTTAATGTTTTTACATATCAAATATATTTTGTAAACTTATTTTAATGCATGAAATTTCAATATTCCACATATTTATATTATTTGTATTGCTATTTAACAATATTTATAGTTTTTTGTGTAGAATCTAGCATAAATGCAGCGAGTCTGAGCTATATCTTATTACTAATTGCAACTTTTAATTAAATATCAAGTTACCATTGAAAGATACGCAGCGAGTACAATTTGGGCAAGAGTAATGGCCGTCTGGTCGGGTCCTTTCAATTCGATTCAGGCAAAACATTTCCGTTTTTGAAATATTGCTTTCCATTTCGTTTTTTTTTTTTTTT